GCCACAGGAACAGGAAACTTCCAGGCAGGGCTAGAGGGTATAAAAAGACCATCTGCCCATGTGCTCGCTCTCTTTTCTTCTCCTCTGCTGCTTATCTGTCTTCTGCAATAAACTGTAACCTTCTTCCCAAAGCAGTCGCCATGTTTGCTTATTTATTCCCGGCTTGGATGAACCAGGATGAAGACTTACCTTCTAACAAGACTCTTATATGTATTTATTTTATAAAGGGCATTCTGGAATGATGAGTTTGTAGTTGCTCATTACCAAAGGCTGGCACTAACCAGGAATCTATTTCTACTGAAAGACACACACCCAACTCTTGTTTTCCTGGTCAGACTAAAGTGATTCATCTAATAGGAGTTCAGATTATGTCAGTTCAGTAGTGAAGTGCACACTGGAGTTGGCAAATTTAAACTTCCTACCTATTCTAACTTCAGAGATGTCAACAGAACAAACAAATCACATAGACACATTCAATTGCAGCTTACAGGGACACTTGCCTTCAAATCAGTATGCTTGGGAGGGTAACAAGCTTAGCAGCAATGCATCTAGCCTCAGTCTAGCACAGTGGTTCTCAACCTGTGGGTCGGGACCCCATTTGGGGTCGATCGACCATTTCACGGGGGTCGCCAAGCAAGGCTGTCCGCCATTTTTTTTGTCCGTCATTTTTTCCCCCTTTTCCGGTGGGTGCCTTACCTCCCTTGGGCTGGGCCAGCTGGTGGTCGGCCTGCTCCGTCTATGCCGCTTGCCAGCTACGCCTCGGCCGGCGCAGGGGGCGGAACCACGCATGCGCGGCGCTTCCAGGCAGGGAAAGTCCTCGACTTACGACCGGTTGGGTAGTCCTTGACTTACGACCGGTTTAGTCCTCGACTTACGACCGGTTTAGTCCTCAACTTACGACCGGTTTAGTCCTCGACTTACGACCGGTTGGGGTCGTGGCATTAAAAAGGTTGAGAACCACTGGTCTAGCATAAGGTGTAAATGTGAAACAGCTCCAGCAACAGGTAAATGGCCAGAGGATTGTGTAAATGGGGCAGCATCACACACCTACCCTACTGGCAGTGTAGTATGCACAAGTGAGGAGTTACACATAAGGAAGACTATTGTCAGAAGGCAGAATGTCACCTGCACACACTTTGCATTTTCTTAATATATTCTGGGCGGGTCAGATAGACCAACATGCTTGTCATTCTTTACACATGGCTATTTTCTCCTTTCCTTTTGACTAGAATTGTGCTTATTCATAAAGCAGAAATAAAATAGCACTATCCTTTTCTAGACCTTCCTGTCAAGCTCTTCTACCCAAATACTACACTGCTTCAATCTTGAGTTCTAATTTTACTCTAGGACACCTTTCTCTAACCAAATACTTCCACATGGGCTGGGATTGCAGTCCCATCACATAAAGTTTATTATTGAATGCCAACTTTTGCCAACAGTTTCCTGATATTACAAGCTTCCCAAAGCAAGATTCATGCTAGTTTGTTGTTGTAAAATCTCTATCACCTACAGGATCATCTTAAACCTTTTAGTAATTTTGAGAAAGATATCATCAAACTACAACCAAATATTGCCATAATGACCAAGAGCCTCCTTTTGTAAACATGACTGAAGTTCATGTCAGATTACGGCATCAAAGATTTTTAATGCAAATATATCAGATAGAGTCAAAGTAGGGGCAAATTGTCCTTTGGAACTTTGCTATCCCAAAACATATATATTAGGCAAGAACAGATTTCCTTCAATTATTAACAGCTATGTAGCAGAAAGTACAGTAGGTCTTTCTTATCTTTAAATATAGCAAACTTGGAGAGTGTGCCTATTTGTAAATAAGCACAGAAATGATGAGATCTTTTCTTGTCAATTTAACAATGCATTTTGGAAAGATTTGTGATAAAATTGAGGGCAACTTTAAATAAGGAGACATTTGGGGAAAAGATCCTATTCCATAATTTCAAATCCTCCCCATCAAAACATTTTGTCTTACCTAGCAGATACCGTTTGTATGTAGAGAAGTCTAAACCGCACCAATGCAGGCAAGGAGTCTTGAAAAGAGGGAGGTAATAATCTAACCAGGCATTTGCAATGGGATGACAGAAACCAGTGAAAAATTGATGTCTAATACCAAAGGAGCTCAACTAGGAGTCTTCCTTCTTTGGCCTAACATTGCCGGAAGAGAGCTATTAGATGCCCCATTTTCTTCATAAGCCAGTAGGCAAGAGGAGCATATGAAAATGGCAACCTCAGACTGAGATGAAGTCAATCATTGCCTCCAAAGGGAAAAGTTACAGACTACACAGCCATTCTTAATTCCCACCAACCTTCCACTGGTTCCTAATAGAGCCTGCCTAATAAGCATGCTCATCTTTATAGGACTCTTCCTTTACACTCCCTGAAATAGCAGCATTTTCAAAGCAGCAATATTTAGTAAATGTGCACGGATTCTTATAAATAATCATCTTTAAACACTAATGGCCTGCGGTTCCAAAAGTTGTATTTCGGGCATAAATATACATCTAAGGAAGTCAAATGCTAGAAATTATACCTTTATTCTCCCCTACTGGGTCTGCCAGGTTTCTGCAACTCAAGGAAGAAAACTGACACACCTGCCTGCCACCAGTTCTTTTGAAAAGGACTTCCACTTAGCAGCATGTGCTTATTTCCCAGGTCTGCCCAACCCACATTCCCGTTTCCAGTCACCTCCTAAGAAAGAAGTCCAGTCCACACCTCAACTTAGACCTTCACCCAAATACCTAAATTTCAAGCACCATTCTGAAAATCCTCCTAGGCTTGAAAGCTCAAAGTGTCAATGATTTTAAGAGGATTTGTATGATAACAAGGATGAACCGTCTTCTGCCGCAGATTGCCTCCCATCGACCGGTACGCTCCNGAACTTCCCCCAGAGATCCGGATTATTCCGGATCTCCCCTCCTTCCGCCGTGCCCTCAAGACATGGCTTTTCCATCAAGCGGGATTGGCCTAGGGGGGGATTTTATAGGGATTTTAAAGGGATTTTATAATTTTAAATCTAATACAGGTCATTTAATATATATTTTAATTTGATTTTTAGATATTTATTGTATTGTACTGTTTTTATTTACCTGTAAGCCACCCTGAGTCCCTCGGGAGAAGGGCGGGGTATAAATGGGAACAAATAAATAAATAAATAAAATAAATAAATAAATGTGCGCCCTACCTGCTGTTGGGTAAGTTAAAATGCCCTATCACTATTTGCCTTTTTAAGGAAAAGCTAAACAATCCACCTCGGGTCTTTACCTGATAATTCAATGTCGCTCAAGAGAAGCCTCATCGTTTAATTGAAGAGCAAAGGGAATCAAAACGCCTCCTAATTACGATCTGCTCGTAAAGGAAGCACCCCCTGCCTCTCTCCTTCCCCGGTGAAAGTCGAATCGCGAGGCCCCGAAGCGTCTGGGACCAAGCAGGGCTGCCACTTAATAATGGCACGAAAGAACCTCGTAGTGGGAGGGCCCAGCGCGTGAGCTCATCTCTCGCGTTCAAGTTGAAGGGCGGAGTAACTAGCACTGAGAGGAGAGAGTTCTACCAAAGGACAGCTGTAGCTAGTTTGGAATGGGATGGGGCAAAAAAAGAGGCCCAAACCCAAAGGTCGACAGGTTTATGGTTATTTTCTGTAAAAAGCGAACTACGCGATGCACTGAAAAAAGAAAAACGGCGAAGTACCCCCGAATTAGGAATCCGGTTACTCCAAGCGGAGGGCAGCTTCATTTTAAACCAGGTGCCTAGGGGCGAATTGGAACCAAGTTATTAATGAGTCTCGGAAGGGAGTTGTAGAGCGACGCGCGTTCTAGAAGCTCACCCAAGCCACGCGGAGAGGGGAAGGGGGAATAACTTTCAAAGCCTTCTTAATGAAAGGAGGACTTGCACTAAGTCCTTTGGCCCGGGTCTCAGGTACCAGGTTGTAATTGGGGGAGGGAGGGGAACAGAGCTCGCCGGTTTCCCGGCGGGCGTTGAATGATTTGGATTTTCCGACCCCCCTCCCCAATTCTCCTTACTCCCCACGCTTTTGACTTCTTAGCTGCCAACGAAATTTCCGCTGGCTCCTCTTGTCTTGCTCCTTGCTTCTCCCCTCGACATTTGAAAAGCCAGTTAAATTTCAACTCCTTGCCCGCTCCCTCTTACCATTTGTGGAGACTCGGCTGAGAGTACCCAACAGCATCAAGGCAAACAGTGAAGTTTCCAATCCACCTGGGCTCATGGTTCGCTCGTGGCGCCCTCCTTTCTCTGCTCTGGCTTCGGCTGCGTCCGGGTGGCCCAAAGGATTGGTACACAAAAACGCAGAATCCGGACAGGTGCCAGGCACTCACCATTCACAAGCACACGCAGTTCATTTGCCCGATTTCTTCGCGCTCCTCCTCAAGGCAAGCGGGAGGCGGGGCTTCCAGTGGGGTGATTTTCAAACCTCCCCACATTATTGCGAGGGGGCGGAGTTCCAAACGCACGATGTGACGTTTTCGTGCTTAACCCCGCCTGGCCCGGTTTAGGATGCTCTTGGCTTGACATCCCGAAAGTCTGTGAAATTCGTGGAAGGTTGTGCGCGTTGTAGGAGCAAGTTGTCCGTTGACTTAAAAAACAAAACAAAACAGCAAAAATGCATCCCAGGCGTTTGTTTCCACTTTTCGTGAAAAAGTTCTGGTCGGCTTTTCCTGCAAAAAGGACTTGCTCCTGAGCCCTGTCCTGAAAAGGGAATGGCAAAGCGGTGCACAGCTTAACCGCGGGCCCTGAGCCTGCCTGGCTTAGCGCCAGAGAAAGCCGGCGGGTGGGGCCCTTCGTCCGATGCTGCGCTGCTTGGCGTCAGACAGCCCCTTGCGATCAGTTTTGCAGGCTCGCTGGCTGCAGAGCCTTGCCGCTATCTGGACTTTTTTTTTTAATTTTGGAGTTTGCAAGTAAAAATAGCTTTACTGAAACCCAATTACTATTTCACTCCCTTTTACCCAGAACAGTATCCATGCCATCCGTCCGTGTGCATAGTTAAAGGGATTATTTTCCTTTCCCTCTTTTAAAATAATGTTTGCATTAATTGTGCTATATTTGTACACAACTGGCTATGGCCAGATTTTAATTTCAAAATATTAGCCCAGGCAGCATATAATATTACAAAATTTAAGAACTGCAATTTTTAATAAAAGTTGCATGCAACTAAATAGAGCCTAAACAAATAGGTGTTCCAATGAAATTGGAATTCCATTACAGACCAGATAGAGCAGACATGTCAAACATAAGGCCCGCGGGCTGGATGTGGCCCACGAAGCCATCCTGGAAACAGTGAGGGAACGGCCCCCGCTGCTTTGGCCCTGGCCCAGGCTGGCTGGGAGCCAATGTACAATTTTGTGATGGCCATCCATGCTGAAACACATTCAGTCTTAGCTCCACAAGGCCGTCTGGAAACAGTGAGGAACCAGCCCCTGCTGTGTCAACCCCGTCCCCTGGGTGCATGCTGGGGAGGTGTCACCCTTTGTGAGGAATGAAGAAATGCACCATCGCCTGGAAGTGGCCAGCAAATGGCCCTCGCCTACTTCACATATCCGGCTTGATGGGCTCCGGGAGAGGGGTTTCAGCAGGCAGCGGGGCGCTCTCCTCACAGCGCCAAGAGCTGAGCCAGATGGCGCAAATCTGATGAGAAGTGCAATGCTGCCTAGCCCCCAGCCTGCCCAGTTTCAGCAGGCAGCAAGGTGCAAAGCTGGCGAGCTTCGCACCACCCAGCTCAACCTCTCGGTGCTGTCTGCCCTGCTGCCTACCGAGACCAGGCAGGCTGGGGGCTGGGCGGCGGCGCACTTGTTTTCGGATTCATGCCGCCTGGCTCAGCCTCTCGGCGCTGTGAGGAGAGCGCCCCGCTGTCTGCCGAGACCGGGAAGGATGAGGGCTGGGCAGCATTGCGCAGGTAACGTTGACTCTCACACTGTTCCTGGCATCCCCTCTCCCAGAGCCCACCAAGCCACATATGTGAAGTAGGTGAGGGCCATGTGCTGGCCACTTCCAGGTGATGGTGCATTTCTTCATTCCTCACGAAGGGTGATACCTCCCAGTTACGTTTCTTGCCTGTTTTTCTCCCTCCCTCATCTCAAATATTTTCCCACCAGGAAGGAAGGAAAGAAGGAAAGAAGGAGAGGGAGGGTCTGAGGGAAGTCCTGCCTTAGTCCTGCCCTTTCACCCTCCTCCTGGCCTATCCTGGGGGTCTCCCATCCTATTGCTAAGGAAGCTTTGGATACAAAGCCAGGTCTCCCATGGAGAGGGAATGGGCCTCCCTCTGACTATGCCCTTCTTACCCATCACAAGCAACCTGGCTAAGAAGAGCAAGCACAACAGCAGCAGCCTTGAGGAGGAGGTAAGTGCAGCTGGGCGCCCCCTTGGGGAAGTGTGGCTGGGCTTGGTGCTCGAGGGCCAGGCTGGGCGTTTGACCTCTGCTGCCCAGGGCTCTGGGCAGCCCGCACCACCATCCAGCCCCCCCCCGCATGAGAGGAACAGTGAGGCTCCTCCAGTGGACCATGCCTTGGCACTTGCCCTGGTCCCACCCCCTTCTGCCAGAGACTCTCAGATCTGTCCCACTCCTGCCCAGGCCCCCACAGGCACCCTTGATGTGAACGATGCCCATCCAGTAGGCCACACCCACTCCACCCACGCCCACCCAGTAGGCCGCACCCACCCTGGCCACACCCACCTGCCCCCCCGAAGGCAACCGCAATGCTGATGCAGCCCTCAATGAAATTGAGTTTGACACCCCTGAGATAGAGGAATGTTTAGAAGCCCTGGTAGAGTGATTACCAAGAATGGGGTCTGCCCTATGCAGGAATCAAAGTGTATGGCCTGTTGTGCCCATTTCACTGTTGAAAGAAAAATCATCAGGGTCCAATCCAAGCCCGGAATGAACAAAATGGAGACTGCTTAGGAAAAAAGGTTCTGTTTATTGAAGAACAGAACAGCAATAGCATGCTGTTCTGGAACAGCTGACAAAATGGAGCTGGGAGTGGTGGGTTTTTATACCTTCTTGGGCTTTTGTGTTTAGAGTTGAAGGGTTTTGGAACAAAGGGAAATTGTTTAGTCTAACTGTTGCTTTCTTCCTTTTTGTAATCAGCTTTTCCACCAGAGAAATTTCATGCAAGTGTGGGAAACATGTACATGGATATACTGAAGGAGGGAATAAGGGAGTGTACAGGAATGATTGATGTCTTTCTTATGATGTAATGGCTCTGTTATCTGATTTTCATTGGCTAACATAGTTTATAAAGCAATACTACCAATTTTCTAATTCATGGCACTTCTGGAGGTAACTCTGCCAACGTTCCAGATCATTGGCCACCCAGCTGCTTAATTTGATCAAATAAAGTGCTGCTTGATCAAGAAGTTTCCGCTTGGGTTATCTGATTAGATTGATATGGTATCTCAAGTTTAAGTATGGGACTGGGACCTTACAGAGTTGTTCCTGTTCCTGTAGCATGAATGGTGGTGGGTTAATCCTATTATTTCCTAAAGGTCATGTCCTGCTTCTCTGTGACTGTGGCTGATGGATATGTCCTGTGTTGGATTTTTGGGTGAGGGGTTGCTGGTTCTAATCCTATCACTCTGTTGTTGTTAGTTATCAAATCTTGCTCCAAGATATTTCGAAAGATCCTGTCTTGAATGGGCTTCTGCCAGTAGTATTTGTTTGCTTATGAATAGGGCCTTAGTCTTTCTAAGTGGGATTATCAAATCTGCATTTCTACAGAACTGTCCTGCTCAGTTTCTGCTTGGGGCTATTAAGAAAAACTGGGCCTGCTTTTCTGCCTTTAAGATCCTTTGGGGAAATATAATATGCTGCCTTTTTACTATCCCCCAAAATATTTCCTTCTCTAGGAGGGTGGGTGGGTGCTGACTTCCAACATCACCTTCACAAGTAAGGTTTGCAATATAGAGTTCTCAGAGTGTAGGGGAAATAAAGTGACAGCTTTATTTAAATAAAGTGACATATAACATTAACTCCTTTTTGAGTTTTATAAGCCAAAATCAAAGGTTTGTCTTGGGCCCAGAAATATATTAGCTGTCATAAGATCTGACCACATATCTTTATTCATTTTCATAAAGAAAGATGGTTTAAAAAAGGAATAAAAATGAATTTCAGATGCTCATTTAACTATCATCTATATCTTAACATTACTTCATTACATTAACATCAGATTGTGTCATATGTTATTCAACAATCTGGAAGGCCTCAGAAAAATGGGAGGAGGGAATGCTTTCTATGCCATCTTGAGCTCCTAATCAAAAGGTGCTATATAGCAGGGTTTTTCAACCTTTTCAGGGATTGTACCACTTTTAGAACATGACAATATTCGAGTACCACCAGTGCTTAACAAGGTGTCAAAAACTTGATGACTAAAAAAAAAAGTGGGAGGGATTTTGGGTTTTATTGATTAGATTCATTTGTTGTTACAGAAGTGGCTAGCTTATACTATTATGGAAAAGTAGAAAGTTGAGGTTTGATGTTAATGCTTCATTCTACTGCAACAAAGAAAGTCAGAAGTCTGTGCCTTTTCTTTTTTCCTTCTCCCCCTCATTTCCCCCCCTTTTCCTCCCCACTGTGTCCTACTATTTGTTTTTGTATTTTTGTATTTTATTCTATAATCTAACAAAATGTTACAAACATTAAAAAAAAGGAAAAAAATATCGGTTTTAATTTCTTTGGTGGCGGTTCCTTTGCTGAATCACTTTCTTTTGCACTGACAAATTATGATGAATGTATCCATATTTATTAATATGCATCACTACCTTGGTGGTCAGATGGCTGGTCGGCCCTTCTTCCTCTCTCCCTCTCCTGTCTCTTTTTCCTCCCTGCCTGCTGGGAGGAGAGCCTCTTCTTCCCTCTCTCTTTTTCCTCCCTGCCTGCTAGCTCTCCTTCCACAGCTTCTTCTCTGTCCCCTTCCTTTCCCTATTATGTTTTTTCCCCTTTCCTGCCAAAACCACCTCCTTTTATATCCTCTCCTCTCTTGCCCCCTCCTCCTTTTCTCTTCAGTGCACCTCCAGCTGATTCCTCTCTTCAAGACTGTGCTTCTCTGTCTCTCTTTCTCTGTCCCCTTGTCTTTTCCCGTTGTCTTTTTTTCCCCTCTCCCTTTTCCACCAAAACCTCCTCCTTTTATATCCTCTCCTCTTTCCCCCTCTCCTCCTTTTCTCTTTGGTGCACTTCCCACTATATGCTGCTTCCGGAAGCACCAATTAGCTGGAGCCGGGTGCCGATCCTGGGGCTTTTGCTGAGCCCCGACAGCCCTGCAGCTCCAGCTGTCACTACCTCAGGCTTGTGTGGCACTGCCGCTGCTTCAATTCATTCCCATCTCCCACTAC